CCAGTCACGAAAAGGCTCGGCAATGCATGTTGCGACTGTGTGGGCGAGTGATTCCGCACTCCGATCCACCGGTGAGGTTCAATCTTAGCTTCGCCAACAATCCGGCTGCCGGCGTTAAGGAATTCAATCTCTTCGTGAACAATTTGCCTTCGGCCATGGATGACGCCGAGTTGTACCAGCTGTTCGGTAGAAAGTAAGTTCGTCTTCTTTGTCCATATATGACAAAATGGTGTATAGTTGGAATGGTTTCGATTTTGATTTGGCTTCGACGTCTTCATGGTGCCTTTATTGTTCAAGGTTCAAGGCTTCTGTTTTTTACGTGGAGTAAATCACTCGTCATAATCTCCATCTTTGGCAACACAACCATGAGTCACGATTCTTAACAGCGTCGTTAAATCATAAGCAGTTGCTGACATAAAGTGACTGTGTTGAACGTCAGTATAAGGTTTCTATGTTCTTTGTATAATTTGCTTTATTTTTTCTGGCGAAATTTTTTGCAAATTCTGCTATAAGCATGTCCATTTTGATGTCTGCTATCTGTCGTTATATCGGTCACTTTGCTTTCACCGTTGACAAGGCAGCGTCGTTATTGGGTCGTCCTAGCGTGTTGGCTGACGACTGACTGGAAGTCTTTTGCCGAGGAAGATCCAATTGGTATGTTGAAATGTACACCTCTTGTCCTTCAAACGAGTCCCATGGCTGTCCCATCGTTTCTTTGAGTTGCGGGCGGCAGTTAGTACATACAAATATCGTTTTGTTATTATAGTAAGTCGTGTAAGGTTCCACGGCAGTGGACAATGGAAACTTGCAGTCGGAAATTGGAATATATCCTCATTCGGGTCGAAAGAGCAGCAGTTATTTGATGAGACCATGAGATACCAACCCGACATAGTTGGATTCTCGTCAGCGAAGCGTCAAGGCTCTGGAATCTTGAACGTCTACGGGTGGAGTGGAAGTTATTCTACTCAGATGTGCACAACAGGCGACGTGCGCTTAGGCTGGTATTAGTGTTCTGGTAGAACCCATCCTGGCGTTGTCTTGTCGAATGGCTGTTTTTCATGGCCGTCACCAATACTTTCTAGTGACATGCAGTTTTGTTAAATTTGTGTAATCTATAAGGAACCTGTTTTCAGCGGCTTCGCATCTTGAATCCTAGATTTAGCAATCACTCTCTGAGACAGGCTCAATGCTATTTTCAGAGATTGATCGTCTTTCAGATTAACGAAGGAAACGAAGTAGAGTAGATTTCTGATATTTTTTCATCATCCGTGAATATTCCGGTCCCATTCAGGCAATGAATTTTCATTATCTGTTTATTTATTCATTCATTCTTCTGAACGAATAGCGATAATACTGGCCGTTATTTTGTTATAGGATTATTTTCCATGGCTATTAGTCCATTATTTTAAATGACTTTAATCATTGGTCCTAAGGAAGTCTGTATGGCGAGTGAATTCCCGAAGCAGCCTTGACACTTTAATTGTCTCTCATTATGACAGCATTTTCAAGTGTTTATTACACAGTGTGTTAACTATAAGTTTGCTAGGTATTTATCGTGCAGAGGCGCCAAAGTCTATCGTAGCTATGACGGTAGCAGTCGCCGGATGGGCTTTATTCGCTTCTCGGACGAAACCGATCAGCAGCGAGCCCTTGTGGAGATGAACCGTGTGCGAATACACGGACGGCCGATTTCGTTGAAGCTGGCTCCCCCGCGCACCTCGACACCTCGCAGTGCCACAAAGGCTGCAGTGGTGTCGGCCTCCTGTTCGTCCTACTATCCCAACTACTGCCAGTACGGAGCAGCGCAGCCAGTTGTTCCCAACTACCCGTACAACTGTCCGGTCATTGCGGTGGCTCCCAATTTGCCCGTCTACGTTCCTACGCCGAAATTCCTCACCACCCCTGGCACGACGTCGGTCGACGATTATCAGCTAGAAGACTACGATGATCATTTGTCGTTGGCCGAAGCGAACGAGCAGTTCATGGAAAGCAGTTATGAATTTTACGAGTCTATCGGAAGTCCTGGAGTCTTTCCGGAGTTGCATACTGCACTTGTGAATTGTGACGATTTGATTTGGTATTTTTCTAATGACAATGAACGACGTGCAAAAACATCAACATAATTTTCTGATTGCGCTTCTTATGCATCGCTTTTTTTGTGTTAATTTATAACAGTATCTTACAGTGATTATGAATATATATAATTTTTGTTCACCGCACTTGTTTCTATTACTTTGGCAGCAAATGACAGTGTTGTTTGTATATCAAACTCAAACGATATTTTGCCTGTTTATGACGTTTTGCAAATATTCTCTACAAATTAATAGGTGATACGAATATGCTATCTAAGTTGTTTATACGAGAACAGTTCTTCTTTTGGATATTGCAATGGAATAGACAACGTCTAATGATGTATAAATAATATTCTCATAACTGATACATAGTGCCACGTTCATCAGTCTTCAGAGTTTGTATATGACCTTGTTGTATGTGAAGTATTTTCTTTCGATGTATTTTGTTTGTGCTGAGTGTAATACTGAAAATTAGCTCAATTTATTTGAACGCAATACGATTCCGGCCCAACATCAGTTGCCACAGGGAGCCACGTTGTGGCTTACAGTCACCAACCTTATCTCGAAATAGGCCCCGTGAGGCAGAAGCTGAATCGTTTGTATTGGCTTATTGCTTGATTGGTCAATGTAGTTATGTGCTTAAAAAGATGATTTTTGTGCCGTTTCTCATTTTTTTCTATATATGCAAATTGCAAACATGCACTGATCTTTAACCAGTCTTCAATCGAAATGTCATATACCATTTGCAGGTCGTGAATTGCTACTTGTTTCTCAGCTGGTTGTATCGAAACAGTCAAAATTCACTGCTCGTAAGAATTATCTCTTATAAAAACGATTGTTCCGCTGTGATTCGAATTTGTACGTCTAACGCTCAAAACTGAACAATTACGGTAAGTATCATTTACTCTTTTCATAGTAAGATTATATTCTCTGTCAAGAGAGTTAATATTGGATTTTACACAAACAAATCAAGGATTTACCATTCCCAAAATATTTTGCTTGACAGTATAAGTTAAAGAAATATGAGTTCAAATTGTACACAGCCTTTGCTGAAATGGGCTTTCTTAGACGAGTCGCTGGCCTTACGCGTCTCGACATGATCCGGAATAGTGACATC